TAAAAATTGCTATATTTCAATCAGCGATTTTGGCAAAACGGTAGGAATTTCCGAAGAAAGGATAAGATAAGAATATCGAAATTTACGCGAAATTGTTTTCAACTAATTTTTAAAAATAGTTGAAAAATGGTCGAAAATGTCAAAAGTGCCAAAATTAGTCATATCTTATCGAATACTAGCCCCGCCCACCCACCCTCTATTTTATAGGGTATGAAGTTTGCCAAAATCAGTCTTATCTTAACGAGTACTAGCCCACCCTACTCTTCTCATTTCGGATAAACCCAATCACTGAAAAGGAGACAGGGTGGGTGGGCGGGGCTAATTATGTTCTTCTGTTGAGTGGGAAGTGGAAACTAATAATAGAATCTAGGATGTGAAAAAAGTAAAAAAAAAAAAACGATAATCGTAAATTTTTTTGTTATACTATTTGCTATAAAATTTATGTCATATTTCATGCACCTGATTTGACTTGACCTAACGTGATTTGACCTGTCCTGACTTCTCTATTGTCCCAAATAAACAGATTTTAAACATTTATATAAATATATAAAAACTACAAAGTATACTCTTCAAATAGTTGTATTTTGTGAAACAAAAATTAATAATAATTTTATTTTTTATCTACGTACAAAATTTTTATACCAAGCTATTTTGACGAAACTGTAAAAGCTGCTATATTTCAATCAACGATTTTGGAAAAATGGTAGGAATTTCCGAAGAAACGAAGCCGAAAATGATTTCTGGATATCGAAATCTATGAGAAGATATCTTCAACTAATTTTCAGAAATAGTTGAAAAATGGTCGAAACTGTCAAAGTGTCAAAATCAGTCTTATCTTATCAAGCACTAGCCCCGCCCACCCACCCTCTATTTTCTTAGAGGGTTTGTCATTTGGCAAAATCAGTCTTATCTTAAAACAAGAACTAGCCCAGCCCACCCGCCTTATATTTTCTTGGGGGGTATGTCATTTGCCAAAATCACTCTTATCTTAGCGAGTACTAGCCCCGCCCACCCACCGCTCTTCTAATTCTAATGACTAATATTATTAATGTTCAGTATAAGATCATTCATTTCATTCAGATCGGATGAAACCAATCACTGAAAAGGAGGCAGGGTGGGTGGGCGGGGCTAATTATGTTCTTCAGTCGAGTGGGAAGTGGAAACTAATAATGGAATCTAGAATGTGAAAAAATAAAAAAAATGATAATCGTAACTTTTTTTCTTACTATTTACTATATATTTATTTTTTATGCACCTGATCTGACTTGACCTAACATAATTTAACCTGTCCTGACTTCTCTATTGTCCCAAATAAATAAATTTTAAAGATTTCTGTAAATATATAAAAACTACAAAGTACACTTTTGGAATTGTAATTTGTGAAACAAAAATTTCTAATAATTTCCTAAACTGTAAAAATTGATTTTTTTTTTAAACGTAGGTTCGACCACTTGAGAAAATAAAATTCAGTCTTCATCACAGTAAATATTGCGCAATATCTCTGTAAAGCTGTTGGGTTGAATTTACAGCAAGATTGAGTCCACTTTCAACATTTTTTGAAATTTATTTACATTTTGATTGCAAAAATACAGTTGTATGTAAACATATTTTCTTACAAGCGTCAAAATACTTTAATTAAAAAAATAAAAAAAATAAATAAAATTTTCCAACGAATGCCCGATATATAAATCATTTATAAATTTTTTGAAGCGGTATAAAAAGTTGTTAGAATTTCGTATTTTTTCTGTGAGAATTTGAATGAGTCGGGGAAAACATCAAGGCGGATTTATAAACCACAAATACAGGGTTATGTTATTTTATATAATTTAAAGCGGAGCTCGTAAAAGAATATGCGATAGCGCAGTGCTTACCGTTGTTGACTTCGTGAAGGTCATTTCTATTATCTATCTATGTATTTTTTAACGCGTAGATAGATCACAAATAAAAGTTCTCAAAATAAAATTTTATAATTTTTCAAAAAATCGGGATCTGTTAGAGTGTACTTCAAGGATGAGGGTGTTCTAATTCCTGTAACTACATGTAGTAACAATTAACTCATCCTGGGTCCGACTGAGTTTTAACTGAAAGCAATAGTTTACAAGTAATGGCTCTTTAAAAAAAAATCGGTGTTGCTATTTTTTTTTATTTTGTTAAAAGCACCCCAGAATTTTTACAAATTCCGTCTGTATATTGTTATCTTGCATATTTACTTAGTTAGGAATTTATGTTCAAATATGTTTAAAGTTTTAAGAATAATACTGTGAATGGTTTATGTTCCGAATTCGTTTATTATTTTTGTGGGATTAAATCTTGCAAATCAAAACCTTTGAACTTAAAAAAATCTAGAATAAAATCAATAAACAGGATCTCAACAAATACTGTTTTCAGATTATCGTACAAAAGCTTAAGATGATACAAGACTATAAGTGACGTAATAATGTCAGCAACAAGAATTTGTCTTTGTATATCTTTTTACTTCTTGGGCATAAGCTAAGGAAGTGCTGTAATACGTTCCATCTGATGAATGGCTATCTTCATGCTTTCTGGACAGCGCATGACTTCTAGAATCCGGAACAATAGGTCTCCCATTTCCGTCTGCCTGTCTGTCGTCTGCCGTCTTCCGTCTGCCATCTGTGTCAATTTATTTTAGACAAATAATCTGAGGAACTACCAAATCGATAATTTATTTTATATCTGTTTTAGCAATATCGTATAGATCGTAAAATGCTAACCAAAATTTGTCTATTCATACCCATCAACGATTTAATAACAACGTTTCAAAATTTTGCGTGGAAAATGCTACTTCAATTTTATTAAATAACATATTACTGAACTTGTGGTTTATGAGATTTTGCAAATAAAAACCATTTACAAATGATCAGGTGGGTGCTAATAACGCGAAGGTCCCTGCTTTGTTAATGGGTCATTTTTTTCGTACACTGAGACTGGTGTAGTATATTTTTTTAAGAAACGGGAATTGTATCATTGTACTTCAACTAATAAATTATGTCTAATAACATGAGATAATTTTTTTTAGCTACTTGTCGTCGCCTGTCAAAAATATCAATCATAACCTAACTCTTGTCGTCACATATCAGAAATGTCAGCTACAACGTCGTTTTCTTAAGCTTTTTCGTGTATTGCGGCAACCAATAAATAATTCAGATCAAATAAGCGACAAACTCCTATTAAAAATGAAGTGACAGGTTTTCCAAAGCATACTTGATGTTGATGTACGATATTTTATAATCGGCTTGTATAACTTTACTTAACTGAAATAGTGCTTGGTTTAGGTTTTATTTTTCAGATATACCTTAGATTAAAAATAAAATGATTACCAAATTCAAACCATGTATTTTTAATTACTTAAATGTGAATAATAAAAAACTTCCGGCAGACGTTTGGAAAGATAAAGAAGATTTTTAAAAGAAAGAGAAAGAGTCATATTAAAGCACCGTTTCCAGCTGAAAACAACATTTTGATAGACAAAGCATTATTTTGTGAGTTGGTATTTCTGATTTCATAATGTGAACTAACTCAAATTTGACAAATATTTATTGACATTTATCACCGTAGAACACTTTTCGTATTATTTCTACACAGCTAGAAAATCCTGAGTCCCTAATTGGAGATGGAGATGACCAAAAGTGTAACGTAGACTTACCCCTTCTCAAACCTGATTTAATATGCAAATCCGCTCAGCTGTTCAAAGCACCCGGATAGAGGTGCGAAGAATGAAAGACAAATCGTGTTTCTTTTTAATTTAGCGCCAAACTTGACATTTGTCGCAGCTCGGTGTGCTAACATTCGATAGTAACTTGCAGGGCTGCCGACTAAGGCATTTTGATGATGTTGAAAACTTTGAAAATAGAGAGGTTAAATTTCCTCAGTTAATTAGGTTTTAATAATTAATAATTATAGGAATTTAAAAACCTACAATCTACATGCCAATTTTAATTTAAAAAATGAAATTTTAATCTTAGCAGATATGAAATGACAAATATTCTATTAGTAAGTTATGTAAACCAATTTTCAAAAATGTATAGAGGTGACCCGCATATAAGCTCGCGATCTAATATTCTGAGAACTGATGTAGATATTAAATATACGCCATTGTTTTTAGCTTGACCGTCTAAAAATGAAATAAACACCAAAGTGTTTTAGGTATGTCATCGTAATCGCAATTTAATGATTAAACTTCCTCATTCAAGCTAAAAACATTGGTGTTTTCAGAATACCAATATCTCTATCCGTTCTCAAGATATAAAGTCTCGGCTTTTTCCCTGGGACACTGCATATATTACCTAAAAATGAAATTTTACGAATTTTTAAATCTGGTGCACACGTCCAAGCTTTTTCCAAGTTTGTCAGTCTGAGCAGCGAAGAGAAAAGTGCATTTGTGATTCACAATGGAACTTCTTTGGAATCCTGAATGCAACAGAGGAAAATAAAATTACGGACTTGGCAAGACTTTGTAATAAAACAAGTACGTATCATCAAGCCTTGCACACTTCTAACTAAATATGAAAAGGACAATCCTGTATCTCCAGTTATTTTAAACTGAATCAGCTGATTAAACGATTTACTTTAGTGTTGTTTTTTTTTTTAGAATAATGTAGCATAGTCAACTTTATTTTTAAGGTTATTTTTTATACAATTCTTAGATCTCAAACGACACAATGCTTTGAAAATTCACTTTGTATTCCAGGCAAGAATTTACATTTTCGTGGAATTTTCTCGCGCGCTTTTCAGCGGCGCCGTTTAATGTAAACCGTCACTCCATAAAAAAATAATTAAATTCACCTTACAAGCCATTATTAATTTTTACGAAGTGTTTTTTGCATCGTACCAGCAACATGATCGCATTTTAATTCCATCAATTGATGCCTAGCACTCACCTGACGATCTCCTGGCCATTATTCGCAGGTTTCGGTAGGTTTTTAGTGCGCGAGCCTTCGACATTATCCTGGCTGTTAGAGTCAGTCCTTTAGCGACTCGCGCAACGTCAAGTGCCTGACGGCAGTCTCGACCACGTGCTCGCGAAGTGTCCTTCCAAAGGATTAAAATGTTCACTTTTTAAACAGGAACTGGCAGAGTCGTCCCCTGAAAAATCTCTTTTCGTAAGTGGGAGCGGGTTTCAGGCTGAAAACGCCGCTTTTCATCTTAACACGATTTTATTAGATCACGTAACGCGATCGAGAAACGTGAAAATATTGACGATTCAATTTGAAAACTGATTCTTGAAATTCGCCAGCGAACGCCGCTTTCGCACTTTTTTATTTTAAACATCGCAAGTATTCATTCGACTAAATTGAAACATCGTAAATTAAAATGGAAACATGCCTCTGAAAGAACGCTGAGACGGTGAGGTTCGGTTCGCGGAACATCCGGCCGGGTCACAGTCACGTGTCGTGTATTAATGAATTCGCGAACGGCGAGTGATTCAGAGTAAAGTGAAAAATTAAAGGCGTTTCATCAAGTTTGGCTAATTTTTGGCTGAAATTTGTTGTTAGACTGTGACGAGGGTTTCCGAGAAAGGCAAAAAATTACAGACTGCGCTAATTTTCGTGGAACGAGTGCTGCTTTAATTTTGTAGCTGGGGCATTTTTTTGGAAGGAACGTTGGTCGGGGTTGAACGGACGAAAATTTTTGGAATTAATCGATTTTTCGTCAAAACAACTAGTTCCACACCTACTGGGGGCTAAACACGCGATGTCTTGCTCGCCTGAAATTGGTATTTATGTGGTTTTGTATTTTACGATGTTACAAAATGCGGGGATAAAATGCAACAGAAGTAAATTTTTTTGTTAGGTGCTACGGGAAAACATTAATTTTGTAACACTTATTAACGGTTAGAAGTTATTCGTTTTTAATGTTTTATTTCCACTTCAATAGAACACTTTAATTTTTCAATAATAGAACTAAAATGTTCCACTTCGTTAAGTATTTATATTGCTAATATAACTGGAAAGATTTTTTAACCCCTTTTACGAAAATGTAAAAATGAAAGGAATGTAGAATTTTCAGTAAAAATAAATCTTCAAATTTTTATATTACTTTAATATAAAAAACTAAATATGCAATTGTATGTAAGTGCACACACAAAAAGTCAAATTTATAAACATTTTACACTCCACGAAATTAAAAAGTTCAATTTTTGGATTTTTTACCATCGTAAATAATAGTCTTAAGCGTCATAATTATTTTTACAATTATTTATATGTGCCAAGGTGAGATTTTGTTTAGAAAATTCTCTCAGAAAAATCTTTGAGATTAGAGAAATATAATAAGCTGTAATGAGTGTTACATTGTACTTTTGAAAATTTATATATCTTTCCCCAACAATGTTTTCAGATGCATGCGATATTAATTTTGACTCAGATGCCAAGAAAAGTGTAAATAATTTTCCTTACGACTATTAGAAAAATGTTCATAGTATTGAAACCCATGGCAGTCGTAGAAAAAGTACGTTATAGACGTCGTTACTCATTCCACACGCTTTCATATTGTGAGAAATGAGCAATTTCCATGCTCGTTGTATAATAAATTATTATCACAGATTTTTTAATAAGCACTTTCTGTCCCTTGTCACTATGATATTCAAAATATATGCGTAAAATTAACCAATTTTAAAGAAATGTTATTTGCGTTTTGTCTTTGCTCAAATGTAGTTTGTTTTGAATTCATCAAGTTTTTCATATTCGTCATTAAAAAATGAATATTTGATTAGATCGCTGATAACTAAAAAAAAATGGCAGGTCTCAGTAGAGGGCCCCGTTGTACCCTATGTAGATTTTTAACGATTGAACTAACAAAATTAATTTAAGAAAATAAATTTTCCAATGTCAGTTATTGAGTTTTCAAAAAAAAACTGGTGCTAGATACTTTAAATTATTTCGCTCCCTATTCACATTAGCTACCCTTTTTTTTATTTCACCGGAGTTACAGAAACGTAAAGTGGAGCTAACTCGATATGGATTATTTTCAAATTTAGATCAAATTCGGATGTGTTTTGAATTTTCATTTCTGTAGCGTCTGCAGTTGGAATCCGGAATTTCACTGAGATCTAAATCTATGGATAAAGCGTTTTGGATATGATCCGAGCAGAATCGAAGATTCAGATTTTTTAGATCCGGATGTTTTTAGTATGTTATTTTTTTTAAGTAGCTACCTTAAATGTGACTTTCTTTTCAATTAATTATTCTTCTTAAATTAGAAAGAAATTAACGCATTCAATAATATACCGGGACATAAATAGGCCTAAAAATAATAAAAAATAATAACATTTTTTTAACTCTGAACATACAGCATAAAGTCCACATCAATGCATTAGAAGTATGTAACCAACATAAAAAAATGTAGATTTTGTAGAACAAGAAAATCGTTGAATAATTTATTTCATTTCTTTAGTGGTGTTGATATTCGACGCATCGAGTATTGTTTACAATTTTGTAAACTATTTTACGACAATAATTCAAACAAGATATTTTTTATTAATTATTTATTATGTATTTATTTATTAATTTTACAAATATTTTAGGCCAGTCACTATTTTTGATCCTTATAGAATTTTCAGTACATTTTCAGAGTGAAATATCAACATTATTAGCGCACTTACTGCCATGAAATTTTAAATATAGCCTGTATACAACTTTCTCAATGTATTGTTCAAGCAGCTTTTTTTAAACAGTTTATCATCGTCTTTAAAGAAATTTTGGTAAAATTTTTCATCAGGTATTGTTAAAAGTTCGTATCTCAATTATTAATGGAAATTTCAGCTTACAAAACTCTCAGAATCGTAGAGAAAACATTACCCACTTTTTTTTGGTTGGAAATGAGATTCAATAAAAAGCTTCCTGGACACAAAATGTTGGCTTTTGTTCAAAGATGGTGATAAATTATTTATTAAAATTTTTTTATTTATTAATATTGTGTAACAATAAGTGAAAGTTCTGAAAACTCACTGAAAATTCAATAAGAACCAAACACAGCGAGTAGCCTCAAGAAATCGTCTTTATTTATTTGTCAGTTTTATTACTATATTATTATTATCTAATGTCTGTACCCAACGGAAAATTTCCTATTTACAGAATAACATTACAGTGTTAAATATTAAAAAAAAATCCATGTAACCTATAAGCAAAACATTTTCTCGAATCCAACTGAAAAAAATTCATCTAAAGATATCGACAGCGTGTTCAATATTTTCATAATTTGTAAACATTTGATACATAGAGTGATAAAAGTTCGTTTTGAATTTAGATTTATGGAAAATATTACGGTGCCAAAAGTTAATTTTGTTTAGAAAGTCTGGACTATCGATTAGGTGGTGAATTAATTTAAATACGAAGATTACTGAAAAATCAGATTGCCTGCTAGACAGAAATGAAATATTTATTCGTTTTTGAGTAACCTTTCGATAGATGGACACCATCCATCAAGAAAAAGGTAGATTTAGCACGATGTTGTACCTCTCAACTGACATTATGTGTGTATTATAATTAGGTGACCTTAGTAAGATTAAAACACAAACATCAGGGAAAAATGTAGCTTTGCCTGTGGTTTAATCTTACTTAAATGTCAGTTCTGTATTGTTCATAATAAGGTGACCTCACAATTGAGACTTTCACTAAATGAGATTAAACGTAGGCGGAAAATAATTTAGTAACGCATCAAGTTGGTAAATTTCGTCCTACTGCTTAAAGTAAAGCCTAAAATTTTCAAGTAGTGTAGGATTATTTAAAAAGTGAGATTATTAAAATTAAATTTAACATCATCCAAGTTGTTTCAGTTCATTTCAATGAATTACATCAGTTTGCAGAATTAAATTTTCTGGTAAATTTTTGTTGAAAATAGATTTTTTTACTTCCCGTGGGTAAGCCAAGGAAGTACTGTAATCGAGTCCGTCGGCCGACTCTCTACTTTTACGTTTCTTTCTTTTGTCTGCCTGTCTGTCTGTCTGTCCATCGGTCCGTCTGTTTGTCGTTCCCGGATTTTTATTACATATTAGATAATCTCCGAAATTACCCGGCCGATTGTTGTCAAATGTTGTATTTATATTAGGAATTTCATGTAGATGGTAAAATGCTAACCAAAATTTGTCTAATGATTTCCACCAATAATGTGATGAGGCCACTTCAAAATTGCACATAATAAATGGGTTTTAAATTGTGTAAAATAACATAGTCCTACACATGTAGTTTATGATTCCGTGTTGATTTTTTACCCGAAACGTCCAGATTTTTGTAAAAAAATCAAAATTATAAAACCTTTTGCAATTTAATTTTAGAATCTGCAAAACCGAATGTTTTAAAGTTATGATAAACATGATAAATTTTTAATCAAAATATATTTACTTATCCCCTCCAAAAAATTGATGACGTAAAATTTTGCTATCTAAAATGTAGAAAATACAATGTGTCTGTAATTGTGGTTGATCATTCCATTCATATTTTATACAGAGTGACTCAAAAAAATTAATGAATGCGTGAATTAATTTCATTGATTTAATCAATATATCATAAGCATGGTAAATTTTTGATCAAAGTGTATTTGCCCATCTCCCTTAAAAAATTGATGACGTCACTTCAAAACTTTGCGGAATAAATCCTATCTTAAATTTGCAAAGTAGGATCAGTCTATACTTGTGATTTATCACTGCATTAATATTTTTTAGATTTGCTTATACGCGGTGTCTCAAAAAATTAATATTGAGTCAGTTTATTTTATTGATTAGATGAATAAATGTAAAACTGAATATTCTGAAACCTTGTTTTTACTATTATTTTTTACTAAGGTTATTAGAAAAAACAAATTTTCTATCATTTTTCGAAAGAAGCGGATTTGTCGGATTGTACTTTAAGCCGAAAAAGTACATATTTTTATGACCTGCTGAATCTTTTTGTTACTTCTGTATATTTGAAAAGATATAAATCAAGCCAACTTTGATGATTTATCAACAATGGAAATAATTTTATCAGTTCCTTGATTGGAATAATGGTAATAGAATTTTTATTGACGGTTTTGTAGAAATCAAAATCGTCCGGAAAAGCTTGTTTCTCGGCCTTGTTCTTGCATGGCTACACACTCGAAATCGTATCAACACTCTGATTCCGAGTGT